TGCCTCTTCCCTTTTCCGGAGGATCATTCACACATCACGAACGTCTTCCGATTCGGGGGGTTCCATTGATTGACCGCGTCCTGCAATTATCCTCCAATGGATCATTCAGGATGCTTAATCTATTCGTAGCTGAGGTTTGACTGCAATATATGGCAGACCGATTATGCCCAAAATGTGGGTCCCGAGCTCACGACAGCGCAACTACTGTTTCATATTTCCATCATTGTACAGTTTCAATCACGAAGGTTTGGACATTTTTCTACTGCCGCTGTTACAACTGCCATCAAATGTCTGTAAAACTGCATCTACCCGACCATGCTCCCATGGGCGTGTCTCGTATACTAGAAAATAAATTATTCTGTATTTAGTTATGTACTAAGTGCACTGTGCTTTAATATTCCAGAAACAAAGACAACATCAATAAGGTGCAGGCCATTGGATGACCGAAGTCAGTGGGATAGTATTAGTAACCTAAGCGGAGTTGTACTAAAACCTTTACCTGCAGCGCTATACGCAACACATCAACTCTAAGCATTTCGAGGAATCGAGTCTTCTGCGTGTTGTGCTGAACTCCATCACTGAAGTAGAATCAGTACTACTGCCAACAGGTAGCCACAGAACCGTGCACTGTTACATCCGTATCATTCTAGGCAGGCCATGAGTAGAGGGTTATCGAGTTAACCGAACCTTAGAGGACTACCAGAAGGAAACTTCAACCAGAACCATACGTTTCCAAGGGTCTCTGTAACTGAAGCACGTGATGAGCATGAATTAATAACCTATGATAAAAACAGTGGTGTTTTATTCGTGAAACACTCTGCTTAGATGATATGTTAGCGAAACCTTGGCATGGCTGCGTACCACATCGAGCTAAAAATGAAGTGGACCGAGAGTGTTGAAGGTGGTATATCAGTCAAAACATATGGTAGCACGGCTTCTTAATATCTAGTACCTGTTCCGTTGCAGATTATCATCGGAGCTCCAGCTAAAGAGAGTCAGCGATATGCCTCCTAGAAACGGTCTGTCACTCAAAGAACCAGACGCGATGGACCCATAAAAGAACAACGCAACAGTAGTGTGTCGAATGAGTCTATGAAGCCTGTTGAAGTTGATATTGACCAGGCACCTTATACTGTAAGTAGAGGATTAGACACGGGAATAACTACGCGGACGATAAATAAGACATTAAACAATTCACCAGGTACACATAAATAAATAAATAAATAAATAGTTTATTCTCAGTTTCATAGAGACACACCAAATCAGGCGTGATCAAGGATTAAAAACAGGTGTGTATCACGACGATACATCGGGTTCAATCGTGTGTAGTTGAAACGGTGTCGGGATGAGGTGATATGTAAGTCTAGTCGACTTGCCAGTATGTAGTTGTGGGCAGTGACTTTATTCAGTGGCGAGTCACATCCGTCACGCCGCAGTGTTGTTAAACATACCCTGTGGCCTTTTATAGAGAGAACGCTTGCCAGACGAAAACCCACCACGTCCTGCAACACTGCCGTAAAGGACTTAGAACATTAATGTTGAACTGGCACGGCCGCTTGACGACTGGTTTTACCTTCGGTTTTTCGCGGAGTAATGGCTTCTAATTTCCTCTGTTAGTTGGACAGGTAATTTGATCGGGGTCGCCATGATTTTTGAGGTCGGTGTAGGAGAGGGACATCGCGATTATTTTTCTTGTTGTATGTCCAAGTGAGCAAAAGTTCAACTTTTCTGCTGTCCAGATTTTTCAGATGTATAATGCATGGGAGTATGAGGATATGTCCAGTTCTCCATACTGGACAAGGGTTGTGGTGATTGTAGTTCGGTCCTTTCGGAGTTCTACCATGCTCCAGGTAAGTCCTTGTGGGTTGTTACGTCCGTCTTAGGCCAAAACTAATCTTCAGTCCAATCCCAGATCTCCAAGAAGTCCCGGACCTTGGAGAAAAGGGAGAGTGAAAGACAACCGAGTGAAGACCGCAAGAACAGGCATGGAGTTGAACATAGTTAATGTGTAGTGACCATGACATTTTACCCCATCAAACATCACACTCAGACTTGTGCACATTTTGTTTTACTTTGCACCCATCCCAAGCCTATATATACTGGACTGCAATTTTGAACGGTGTTCGCCATCTTGCCCGCGCGCTGCCGGCTGTTGTGCTCCTACGTGGTGTTACTCGTTGCTTCACCACTCTCTCCCATTTTCCTCAAGCTATATTCACATAGCTATTGTACATAGCTATTTTCTCAAGACAATCTTTATATCCCGCCGTCTTCTGTCTCACCGGGCTACGGTTTTCTTGTGTAGCATTCGTCAAGCCGCTACATAATTGGTGACCCCAGTCGCATTCCGGTGAGTTCGTTCCATTTTTTTGGTTTTTTCCACGCAAATCATGGCCTCAGTTTCTAAAAAGTGTGAGGACTCACAGTCTGTGCAAGCGGTATCTCTGGTAGTTCCACCATTTATTGAAAAAGATCCCGTTTTATGGTTCATGATTTTAGAAGCTGAGTTTACTTCTAAGCATGTCACTAGCGATTCTGCAAAGTTTAACCACTTGCTCACACGCCTGCCGACTGATATTACTTTAGCACTACGTGATCTTATTATTACATCTTGTCCTCCTGACCGCTATAATTCTCTCAAGAACGCGGTAATAAAGCGTGTTACTCCCTCAGAGAAGTCCCGCTTGCATAAACTTTTTACTGGTCTACAGCTAGGTTCTAGTAAGCCATCCGCGCTATTGCTAGAGATGCGTGGTCTTCTTCAAGGATTGCATATGGACGAGTCGCTGCTTCGAGAGTTATGGCTTCAGCGTTTGCCTGAAAACGTACAAGCTATGCTATCGCTTGCGAAATCGCAGCCTTTGTCAGAAGTTGCAGATATTGCTGATGATATGATGGATCGCTTCACCGGACCACCGTGTCCGTCGTCTAGTTCTCTTCGCTCACCTGACGTAGGTTTTACTGTTGACCCTTCGGTCCAAACCATCGACACCACTACTCCACCTTCGACTGGTGAGCTCTTAACAGAGATAGCCGCGCTACGGCAAGAAGTTCAAAGCTTAAAGTTACATCGGCACCCACGGGATTCTCCATCCCGTTCTCCTAGCCCATCTCGAAGCCGAACACGACTCCCAATTTGCCGTTATCACGCACGTTTTGGAAGTTCCGCTAGAAATTGTATAAAACCATGCTCATTTCCCGTAAGGAGAAAAAGGACAGGCCGACACGTATTGGCGATGAACGCCGTCGGCCGAAGTCGTCCAAGTCGCCTATTCAAAATCGTTGATAGGAACACCGGGATCATGTTCCTGGTTGATACCGGGGCGGAAGTTAGCGTGATCCCACCGGTTCCAGGCGACGCGACTAAGCCACAGACAACCAACTTGCGTGCCGCTAACGGCACCGCTATCCGAGTGTTCGGTCAACGCTCTCTTACCATTGACCTCGGACTACGACGTCCCTTTCGATGGATTTTCACCATCGCTGCCGTTCCATTTGCTATATTGGGTATCGACTTCCTCCAACACTTCGATCTTCTCGTCGATGCGCGTCATCGCAAACTCGTTGACCAAAAGACCCAGCTTTTCACATGTGGAGTTCGCACACCTTGTGTTTCTGTCACTCCCATTTACATTCAGCCTGAAGCTGATAAGGAATTTTTAGATCTGTTCAGACAGTTTCCGCAGCTGGTCCACTCAGCTGACGCTACTCTTCCGGTCGCATCTAGCGTTACGCACCATATACGAACCCGTGGCCCACCGGTTTCTGCACGGCCACGACGTCTCGCCCCTGATAAGCTAAAAGCCGCTAAGGCGGAATTCGAGCACATGCTCGAACTTGGTATCATCCGTCCTTCCGAAAGTCAGTGGGCCTCACCTCTCCACATGGTGCCCAAGAAAGGCGGCGACTGGCGGCCCTGCGGAGACTACCGGGCGCTGAACAAGTGCACAGTTGCAGATAGGTACCCTATACCGCACATCCAGGACCTTACAAATAGTCTCGGTGGTAAGTCAGTGTTTAGTAAGATAGACCTGACGCGAGCATATCACCAGATTCCTGTAGAGGACTGCGATATTCCCAAAACTGCAGTTATAACACCCTTTGGTTTATTCGAGTTCCTTCGAATGCCTTTCGGGTTAAGGAACGCTGCTCAAACATTCCAGCGGTTCATCCATGACGTTACTCGTGGTCTGGACTTCGTATATCCTTACGTGGATGATATCCTAGTAGCTAGCGCCTCTAAGTCGCAACACTTAGAGCATCTGCGTACTCTGTTCCAACGCCTATCTGATCGAGGCGTTACCTTGAACCCTAGCAAGTGCGAACTAGGAAAATCATCGATCGAGTTCCTAGGTCACCGCATCTCAGCTACAGGTATTGAACCACTGTCTCAAAAGGTGACCGCCATCAAAGATTTCCCTGAACCTACATCGTTTAAACAACTTAAACGTTTCCTTGGGATAGTTAACTACTATAGACGCTTTATTCCGTGTTGTGCTAGAATAATGCAGCCCTTGACTGACTTGCTGCGGGGCAATCAACGTTCGTTTGTTTTTACCAAGTCCGCGCGATTAGCCTTCTCAAACCTTAAAGACGCAATCGCTAATGCTGCTCTCTTAGCACATCCCGTACCATCTGCTCCAATTTCTCTCGTCACTGATGCCTCAGACGAGGCCGTTGGTGCTGTTCTTCAGCAGGCTGTCGACAATACATGGCAACCTTTGGGTTTCTTTTCGAAACGGTTGCAGCCAGCGGAGACACGTTACAGCACCTTCGGGAAAGAACTTCTGGCAGTTTACCTCGCCATCCGTCATTTTCGTCCTTTTCTAGAGGGCAGAAGCTTTACCGTCTTTACTGACCACAAACCTTTAGTTTATGCCCTCGACTCGTCATCGACCTTAACGCAATCTACAGGGCCACCTGTAACGACGCCCAGCTTTTCAGCTCCACCACAATCCCAGTCACCAGATTCGCCTCAAACTAATACCAGTCACGGTAGAAGAGTTCGTAAACCTGTTCGTTTCTCCGATTTTGTCGAATTCATCCACACCTCATGAATCTTTTTCATTTTCTCTCGTTTGTATTATGCTTTTCCGTAAATATCTGAATCTGTCTCCCCGAGTTTTTTCCCCCATCTATCAGGTAAAGTCATGAGGCTGGCACGTTTGGGTCCGTCCGTTCAATGGTTGGCTGTTTCTCAATTGTTTGGTCGTTTGGATGCTTTGGTCTACCCCCAACGCTTTGTCGTCTCGCCCGCCCACGTTGGCCTTTGGATCGTGGTCTGCTTGGCTCAATTTGGCTCGCCTTGGTCGTTTGTCTGGCTCGCCTTCCTGGCTTTGGCTGCTCGTGTGCCTGGCTCGTTGTTTTTGGTCCCCCCCACGGCTCGCCAATACGAACAGGATTTCAGCTTCGTTGTGGCAGTGGATTGGAATGCGGTGGGGGGAGTGACCTCTCCCAAGCGCACCGTCTTTCAGCAGCGGTGAAAGGTCCTACCGGCCCTTTTTCTGGATTATCCAGTTTTTTTGTAGTCCGGTGTGCCCGCTGGGACGGCCCACCGATGATGCATTCCAATCCACAAGAAGATTAAATAATCCAAATACAACCGAACTCCTGTGATTCTGCCTTTATACATTTGCAAGCCAACAGCGATCGAAGTCCTCGTCCCTCGGCCTTCTAGGGGGAGGCCTGTGTAGTGACCATGACATTTTACCCCATCAAACATCACATTCAGACTTGTGCACATTTTGTTTTACTTTGCACCCATCCCAAGCCTATATATACTGGACTGCAATTTTGAACCGGGTTCGCCATCTTGCCCGCGCGTTGCCGGCTGTTGCGCTCCTACGTGGTGTTACTCTTGCTTCACCACTCTCTCCCATTGTCCTCAAGCTATATTCACATAGCTATTGTACATAGCTATTTTCTCAAGACAATCTTTATATCCCACCGTCTTCTGTCTCACCGGGCTACGGTTTTCTTGTGTAGCATTCGTCAAGCCGCTACAAATGTCTTGTGTTACAACATTTGGGCTTGAGACAAAAGCCTGTACACTGCGCAACAATAATTACGCTGAAAATGTCTTTTGAATATCCTATAGAATCATTAGCCGTA